TTTATTTCCATTTATATTTGATTACTGGTATAGTAAATTAATACTGTCAACACATGTGAACACATAAAAATGACTAATATGTTGTCCCTATTTTCCAAATATTTTTTTTCCTGCAACTTTAACACACAGAAATCAGCAAACATGATGAGGATGAAAATGAACTACATCAAACAGAGAAGGAGGAAAAATTACAGAGAGAATGTGAGGAAAAGAAAAGACTTGAAGATGAGTTGAAGATCAATGAGGAAGACTTAAAACACGTCAGACAAACCATTGAAAAACTGATGGAGCAGAAGACATTTCTGAAGAACCAGAGAGAAAAACTCAACACACTACTGCAGGAGGACAAGGCAGAGATGAAAGAGGCCATGAAAAAGTTGGAGAAAGACAAAGCCCCAACTTTTGACAAAGGGAAAAAAATGCAGAAGCGTGGAGATAAAAAAACTGACCTGGAAAAGAGAACAGAAGTACATGATGAACTGTTAAAGATGACAGAAAAGCTAATGGAGGAAACAGAGAACATTATAATCCAAATGACAGAAAGAAAGGGAAAACTAGAAAAAGACAAGGAACAAATGATTAAACACTTGAGAGAGAAACAGAAAGACATAGAAGAGATTAAGAAGAAACTGTCAGAGAAACAAGCGAGAAACAATGAACAGGTGTGTAAGTTTTTCTTGTATATATTTCTTGCTAAAATCACACGTACAAACTGTCGTGTTGTGTTCAGTTTACATTCCCAGTGTCTTCAGTTATAAACCTAACCCGTTTTTTGCTTTTCTTCCTCAGCAAAGGACAGAGTAACACGGCAAAAAAACATGGATTTTGCTGTTTTTTTTCCTCTTGCTGTCATTTTGCAATGTGATGCCTAATGTTTCTTTATTTGTTTGCTTTAAATTTATACATTATTAGTATTATTATATTATTATACATTTAAACAAGAAATGCAGTTTGACCATATTTTATCACAGGAGATAAACATTTTTGTGATTCTTTAAATCTTTTGTCTGTGTGAAAGTAAGAATTACACAGTGAAAGCAAGAAGAAAATATGCTCTCTGTATTGTCATGAGACCTGGGGTAGAAAAACTCCCCCCTGGCCGCTTCCACATCACAGCTAAGAGATATTGAAGGTCTTAATAGTCAGACTTATGTGAGTAAAAGTGATCAAAGTTCTAAAGCAGAGCTTTCATCTATTTCCTAATAATTAAGCATTTTATTCTTAATCAAGATAAATAAAATACAAATGTGATCAATATATTAATATAATTAATATTATATAATTAACATAGTCTGAGTAATAAAAATAACTGTTTTAATGTCTGAGTTTTGTGGTGAAATGTGTGAGTGCTCATGAGCAGATTCAACCGTGGCAGTTTTGTGTTTCTAATAACAGACCTTACCAAGA